GCTTCTACTATAACATCAAAATCTTTTGAAAGACGACTTAACCTATTGAGGAAGCAGATACAGGTTATGTTTACCACATGGGCAAAGCTGCAGACAAGTGTTAAGAGCTGTACATGCAGACCAGGGGTGTTCAGCACAAACCAGCAATAAACAGCTGGATGTTACCCTTACGTCCAGCTTTGCTGACCCTCTTACCTGTTGAATTTAATCATAATTTCTAAAGGCACCCAGCCATCATCCAGTTTGATCTGTTCCTTCAGGAACTTGTCTCGCGGTAGATTGTGATCACCAAAATAGTACTGCAGAGGAGAGAGAGAGATTTGTCTTTGAGTGTTCAGTCTTAAAAATTCTGTTTCATTTGACAATTTACTGCAGTAGATTGAGACATATGAAAATTCACGATGGTGATAAAAATAATTAGAAATTCTGAAGTCCCTACTTCTCGCCTGATACATTTCCAAAAGTTAGTTGCAGCAAAGAAGCTGTTAAGAGTGCTTCATCTAGAGGGACTATAAGAAGGCAAAGCTAAATTGCAGCTTTGTTTAGAAGAGGTATGACACTTTTTTTGTACCATAATTATTCATCAGCCTAATTAAGCTCCAATGTCACAAGAGAAGGGAGGATTTAAAGCGAAGTCCCTAGGAATTAATTTCTCCAAAAATACATCCAGATCCTAAACAATAAGATAAACATACCTCAATTTGCTGACAGATTTTGCTTTCCAAGATGGACATATTTTCACCATCTCCATTTTCAGCCATTTTCACCAACTGTATTAAAGAAAATTTAGTATTCTGTTTTTAGTACATGTAACCTTCTTCAGGCTTCCATTAGAGAAGAACCACATTTTACTGCAGCCTTGGCCAAGCCAAACAACTGACAAATCTACAGCCACCTATTGGTATTTGTGGGTCAGTTGTGTGTTTGCCTCTCGCAGGAACAGGACTGCAGTAGGGGCCTGGGAAACGCTCCACTAAGACTCCCTTCTCCCAGGCAGTCACGCTCTCCCTCAGAGCACCTGCCTGACAGTCATTTTATCTCCTCATTTAGTAGTCTAAAGTCACTGTTTGTTCAGCATGCTGCAGCCCTAAAATATTCCAGTTTCCCCTTTTCCTTCCCTTGCTGGTTATTTTTGCTATCTGGACACTTACAGCCTTGAAAAGGCTGTACCATGTTCTCCACTATAGACTTCTCCCTTTACCTGAACACAGCAACACCCTTAAAAATATGTTTTTAGCAAGTGCCAGTTGTTTCCTGTGATCAGAAAACCCACAGCCATTGCTAATGTAGACCAGCAGCTGCAGTTGCTTGAGAGCTGCCTCACGCTAATTACCCTAACTAGGGAAGACTTCATTATCTCACCCCCACGTGCAGGTGCTCGCACCATCTCGGCACTCCCCGGGGACACTGTCCCCAAAACACAACTTCCTCAGAACCCCATGTTTGATTTACCTTAAACTTAATTTGGGGTAAATCTGCAGCAGCCTAAGGAAGAGCCTCAGCTTTTTCCAATGGATTAATGAACTAATCTCTAATTGAGCACTAATTGTGTGCTACCCTAACACCTGATCCAGCAGAAGGCCAACCTGCTGGGGCAAGTGAAGAGTATTTCCATTGGACACATTTATCACCAATTCCATTCAGGTTGCAGGAATGTGGGTGGTGGTGGCAAGGGGACAGCGAGGAAAAGAGGACAACTAAAACCCAATTATCTTTCTGTGCCAGCAAACAATTATATTGGGTTACATTTAATGTTAAAGTAAATCCTCAGGAGGAAAAAAGGAAAAGGGGAGAGGGGCACAGAGCGGCACCTACATGGATTGTTAATATTCTTGAATCTTAGTTTGTGACTGAATTCTCATTGCAAAAGTCTTTCCCAAATTCACATTGCAAAAGTCTTTTCCAGGTGCTATAGCTTTACACATACACATATGTAGTATACATATAAAATACATATATATAAAAATAATTCAAGCTATGAAAAAAAAATGCCATATCTTATCGGCTTTGAGAAACCCCATCCCCTGCACTGGGGCGAGCTGCGCCGCCGAGGCCCAGGCCGGCCCTGCTCGCCGGGCGCGGGCCCCGCCGCGCAGCTCGGGGGCTCCGCGGGGCCC